CTTGCTCCATCATATCCTTGCCCACGTACCTTTATTAAACTTAATCCATATTTTTCAAATAATGACTCCAAAGTCAATTTCAAGGTAAGTGCACTAGTATTAGAAACATGAGCAACACCAAGCAAACACTCTAAAATTTTCCCTTTTTTATTCACATAACGTAGAGCCACAACCATTTTCTCATTCGTCGAGATATCTCGAGATTCATCAATCAAAATAGAAAATAAATTATCTCCAAGATTATTAAGTATAACTTAAGTGGTTGCACTAGCAGTGGCTCTAACAATATCCTTTTAGATTTTTGGAGATATTAACTTAAGATTTCCACGACAATTCTTCCAAACTTTATAAATAGTTTCATTATGGTTAAGAAGAAAATCCATAAGTTCAAAAAATTTCCCATTATTTCTTGATGACACTGACTCATCGTTACCACGAAAAGCTAAACCTTGGGCTAACAAATATTGAAAGTAATTAATTACCCTAGTCAAATGAATTCGATAGTCCTCTTTAACTTGATTTGATTGTTTGAACAAGGCACCTTCAATATGCAACTTCTGTTTTATTAAAGCTTGACAATTTCTTCAGGCTTGATTATGAGAGCTATCTGAATCTCCAAGATGAACTCGAAACCTTTCATTTTTTTCCCAATTTCTAAAACCTTTTGTTATAAAGACATCACCACTACCTTTATGTTCTCCAACATGTGATCTCATCAGATAATAACATAAGCAATACACAATATCCTCCTTTTGACAATATTCCAACCAACTACTATATTTTAAATTCCAATCCAGATTAAACTTATGAAAAGTATCCCCAAATTTTCTTTGTGTAAAATTAATTTCTTTTGGTTAACAAGGACCCTTTTGTAAATAGTATCTCCTAATTTAATCTCTATCAATTGGATGATAATCTGAAATTCTTGGCCTTAACCTAGGATCATTGGGAAGTTTTTCCAATTCGAATTCCAAATATCTTTTTTTCATAGGTGGACTCAATTTTACACTTCTACATTCATCAACTACTTGGAGACTAGGAATGAATGATTGTTCGAAGATTTTCTTTTAAAATATTTCTCCATTGCTTATTGTTAGAAATAAAATATAAAAAATACACAATTAAAATAGTATTTAACGATCATACTATAAAAATCATATGCAAATACAATAATTCCAGCAAATACTACAAAATTGTAAAGATAATTTTTTTTACCATTAACACAATAATTCAAGCAAACACTACAAAATTTTAAGGATAAATTCAACCCAAAAAAAATCATTAACACAAACTTAATCTCAATAAACTAACAAAGAAACAATATATGTTTACTAAGATTTGATTTATAAATAAAATAAAAATAAATAATAAATATATTAGATTAAAAAAATTAATAAAGATTTTACCTCTTAAAAAACTATTGATAAAGAAAAAAGTGAAAAAAGATGAAGGGACTCGAAGAAAACAAACCGCCGACAGATAAACGATACAAAACCGAAAAATTACAATTGTGTAAATGAAAGGAGATGAGAGAGTTAAAGATAACAAAAGGATTTTATGTATGATTAATTATATGAAATATGATTTTTTATATTTAAATTATAAACTTATAAATATATTTAATTAATTTTAAGGAGAATGCACTTAGATAACTTAAAAAATTGTGTAAATTGCTTAAAAATTGGAACAGCTGAGTATAAAGATCAGGTATAGTAATTTGCTTAGAAATTGGAATCCCTAGTGGTGTCATAAATGTTTCTTTGACTATTAATGTCACGTATATTAATTTATATTATTAGTAGTATGATATATGTGTGCATATAATAAGTGGGAGCATTGGCCCACACAATGCAACATATGTGCCCCTCTCTGGATATTTGTAGGACTAAAATCAACTCTTTAAATCCAACACAACGAAGGCGTTAGAGGTTGCAACGAAGACAAATCAAATGTTGCAATTAAAGCAACTAAAGGAGAATTGTAATGAAGACGATAATTTTAACATTTATATTGTATATGATACCTTTATAAATAATGACAATGTTTAAAGAAAATGTTCATGATTCATTTAGAAATGATTTTAAAAAGGTATGATGAATTAATGCAATGAACCGATATCAAAAAGTTTTATAAGTTTTCAAAACACTACACGTGTAAGCAGTTGCACAAAAAATATATCAATCGGTTACAAAAAATTCAATGCTTAAAAATTTGAAATTAACACGTGTGTAACCGGTTGCACAAATATGTCAATCGATTACACTTTTCAAAACGTGCAAATATTTGAAACAAAGGTAAAAATACAATTAATTGCCTTATTATGCTAACCGATTACACTACTTGCATTTTTTAATTTTTTCGTTTGAAATGTCATCTTTTGAATGATCATGCAATAGAAATGATTAAGAAATTTTAATTTAGAGAGAATGAGATGAAGTTTCTAGAGCATCTAAAAATTATATAAAAATATGAAATACCATTTAAAATACATATATTGACAAATCATCTAATCTTTTGATTTTCAAAATTTATTCAATCTTGCCAATTTAATTCAATATTTTTCTTTGATAATTATTCAATAATAAGCTTTTGTCTTTGCCAAAATCAAACTAGTTTTTACAATAATAAGGTAATGCTTTGTTGCGGTAGAAAAGTATCTGACCTACACAATTAACACTTTAAAGTATAAGTCCGATAAATAATAAAGAGTACTATATGAATTATGGTAAATTTAAATTATGTTTTTTCTTTTATACGAGATACCTTACATATAAAAGTTGATTAGAGTGTTTAAGATCTAAATCGATTTCTTTTATTAGACATTTGACTGGCAGGACAATTCTTTTTCTGAATCACATGCTGATGTTAACAAATGAAATGGTAAAGATTATAATTAAGAAAGGAAACATGAAAGTTAACTCGTCGTAAAATTTAAAAAATCTGTTATTTTGATGTAAGCATTATGTTTATCTACTAATATGCTGAATTAGGGTATCTGTGTGATATTTTTAGTTCTAACATTAGTTGCTATCTATGCCTCTTAATTTTATTATCTTTCTTATTTAGCAACAAATCCAAAATGATGGTTGCAAAAATGTTATTAAATATAACAGCGCCCCCTCCACGTTAAGTCGCTTTGCTCACTCGCAAAGTTACAAAATAATGCTCAAAATGACTTTTTTACGCAAAAAGTTAGCGAACAGTATAAAAAAACATCTTTTAAATATAAGCATCTAAGCCATGTGACCTTTCTATAGTTTTGTAAAAAAGGAAAATAAATGTAAACAAAAATTTCACAATCAAATGTGAGACTTTATAAATTATAGATCTTTAGAGAAATCTGTATAAGTTTTGCTAACTTCTTCCAATTTTAAATATAAACCAAAATTAAAATATATTTTCCTAAAACTATAATATTAATTATAAATAAAAAATCAACATTATCATTGAAAAAATAAATATATTAAATCAAATCTACACCAAATACATTTTGACTTATAATATATTTATACATAGATTGTTTAAGTTTTTGACTAGTATACTAATCACTTATTCCAATTTTCAATATAAATAAAAGCTAAAATGCATTTATTGAAACTATAACCTTAATTATAAATAAAAGTCAAGATCAAAATATATTACTAAATTCAAATTTACATCAAATACATTTTAACTGCTGTGTATAAACATGAATGAAATCTATTATACAACATTTTGATTATTGCAGGTATTTGATACATTTTTAGTAGTAAAATATATTTTCTCTAATCTTTTATATATATATATATATATATATATATATATATATATATATATATATATATATAATATTATTATTTGTTTAATAAATTTAAAAAATTACTTTTTTTGATAAATAAGACTGTGAGTAATATATTTATATATATATTGTTTGACTTCTTGACTAGGATAATCCACATCCAATAAAATGAAACAAAACAACTAATTCTCCTCATTTTAATTTTAAATCTATTTTTTATCTTATGTATTTATATATATGGTTTTATTATATATGTATTTATATTCCGGTTTAAATAATCTCTCCGTCATTTTTTAAAAATGATTCTTGAATGTTAAAATAATTTTGATTTTCTCTACAGTAAAATTTCCCAAGAAAATCGAAAAAAAAAATACACAAAAAACATGTAGATTTTAATGCAGATTTTGTTTTCAAAAATTAAAACAAAAATATTCAACATTCAAAAATTATTTTCAATAAAAAAAATTTAAAGATTAAAAATCAAAACACGCCACAAAGATTTTATTTAAACCAAAATATAAATACATATATAATAAAATAATGTAAATACAATAAACTTAAAATTCAAAAATTATTTCAAAGAAATATTTAAAATAATATTTCCACGGATTTTTAATATAAGGACTAAAACCAAAAATATAAAATCGAATCATGATATTTTCTACTAAATTCAGAATCATGATATTTTCTACTAAATTCAGTGCCAATTACTTGTATTTTAAATAGAATTAAAAGGCCAAGTTAGTCCGGTAGCAGGGTACAGGTGAGTGAGTTTTGCCGAACTAGCACGCCTCAAACTCTCTTTATATAAACTGTTGTGTTCTGTCCCACTCTCTCACATGTCCTTCACTTTCTCTACTCCTTTTCCCATAGTACTTTTCTCTGTTCACCCCTCACGTTATCAATATTACATTTGCACAATATATCATCTTATTTTTCATTTCATCCTTCACCATTTTCCTCGGTTATACGGTTCGGTCTTGTTCCCATCCATCATTCTTCTCATTAATTCCAAGCGTGTGTCAGTAAATCTGTAAGGAAAAAACTAGCGTACACGTCAGCTCTATATTAATATCCTCATAAAAATTCAGACTACTCTCTTCTTTCCATCGTCATCATCCTCATCAATATACGTATCTTTCAAACTCCAAACGTCATCACAACACATTACAAAACGCAGCAACAGCACAAACCAAACCCACTTCACTTCACCAGTAAAGAGATGGGGAATTGTCAAGCTGCTGAATCGGCTACTGTTATGATTCATCACCCGGGGAACAAGATCGAGAGAATTTACTGGTCTGTTAGTGCTCATGAGGTTATGAACTCTAATCCTGGTCATTATGTTGCTCTTATTGTCTCATCTCCTACTATTAAGTCTGAGAATGGTACACCGTCCAAACATCTCAAGCTTCTTCGACCTGATGACACTTTGCTCATTGGTCAGGTTTACCGATTGATCAGCTTTGAAGGTACTAACGCTAATAATGTTTTTTTTTTTTTTTTAATTTTATGAAAAGTGAAATTAACTTTGGTTGGTTGTAGATGTATTGAAGGAGTTTACTTCAAAGAAATGTGGTAAACTCGGAAAATTGCTTAAGGAGAGTGGTAATCATGGGGTTCAGATGAAGCACAAAGATTCCAGAGGTCCGAATCCTAGTCCCAGTTCCAAATCTGAGTATGGTCAAGTTAAGGTATAAGAGTTTCATGTTAATATTACTTCTTTGCTTCAAATTATTATTATTTTTTTAATTTTGTTTATTTTTAATTTCGAGCAAAACTACATAGTATAAATTTATCACATTTTTTACTATGACGGAAACACCTGACCGTACCTGTAACTAATGTTTGTTTGTGTTGATCATTACAATTTTTACCATGTTATTGCCACCAATCCACACTAGATCCAATTCGCGACAAATCTAATGATGTTAACAAAGTTTTAACCAAACTCGGCAACATATATATCAATAATATCATTATTTTGAGGACATAAAAGGGGATTAGCCCAAAGTTTCACACATATCTAAAGAGTCTTATGAAATATATTTTTAAGGTTATTAAACCATAAAACATATTTTCTAGAAGAAAATTAATTTTTTAATTCATTGAATATTCAATGTATCTAATTTATTATTATACATTTAAGATGCATTGATTCTTCAAAGAACTTAAAAAGTAAATTTTTATTTCTTATAAATAATATTGGCGATAGTAAAATATTGTTTAATCTCTGACATTTTAGCCATGTTAACCTATTTAAATCTCCGAAAATTTAAAAGCCGTGTACTGCTAAACCTTTTCAAATCCTCGTATTAGATAATTGATTTATCTAGTTTACCTAGAGTCAAAATATATTATTTATTTATAAAAACGAATGGACGGAGTATATAAATACCTAACTTAGGTAATTCCATTTATTTTTAGTCAAGCGTTTTTAGGCATGAAGGTTGGCATTTAGGGTCGGAATCGCACTAATATGTAGCATGCACTTAGTTATCCAAAATTTATGGTAATCTAGTTGACTTTGATGTGGAAGATTAGGAATAGGAAAGTACGTCAAACAATGCATGCTCCACAATCCAAAAAATGATGTACTATCTTTTTCTACTAGTACAACTTTGATCACTTTTTATGTTTCTTCACGTTTCCAATTCATAGAAGCACTCCCACGTCATAAAAGTTACTAAGTCGGTAACAGGATGAACTAATAAGTTATTGGGTCATGCCAACTAGACACAGGAGTATAAAGGGATTAGTAGTAAAACTTTTTTTTGTAAGATATTATTGCTACATTTGATTCTTTAAAAAATGCTCTATTTATAAACATAAGATTATGAATGGTATACAATACATGCTTTTACTTGAAGATATGAACATGATACTTATATAATTAAACGGAAAAAAAAAAAAAAAAAAAAAACCTGTGCCTAACTGTGTAAAAAGTTGCAACAAATTGTTGGTGTTGTGTCAGGTCGAACAGGAAACCCAAGGAATGGAAAACAGTGGAAGCAGCAGACGCAATAACAAAGTTGTTGGAAGGCATTTGGTTGGTGGAAGTGGGCAATGGAGGCCAGCCTTACAGAGCATTGCAGAATTTGGAACTTAAACTCACTTTGTTTTAATTCAGTTTCTTTCAATAATACACTTCATGTAATTGCTTTTAGTAGGCCCTTCCTTATACGTAGTTATTAGGCAACTGTTAATCCATTATATCATGCTGTTTTGTTTGTTATAAAAACATTATTGAATCATTTTCCATGTTTCGTCTGGTTTGGAAGTGTATGGTATTGCCTTGAAATTTTGTTCGTTCTACTCGCATTCATTGAGGAACAAACTTGGGTAATGTGTTGGTATTGTGGTCCCTCTTTTTTGTTGAATTAGCCACTTTTCGTGCATAAATCATGCAACGAATGTCGGGTATCAGTAATTGCAACAAAATTGATGGTATCAAGCAGCATGTGGATATTTACAAGTAGTGCTAGTTCCACTAAGCACTGATATTTTAGTATGGCTTGTTTGTTACCTGGCTGTTTGTTTTGATTGAATCACTCGTCAAAGGTGCAATCATTCTATTCGTATCCCCTTATGTTCATCATTCCGACCTTTAAGTCCAAACAAAGTTATTTGTCCAAAACGTTGTCCATGTGTTTTGTCGACATTCCAGACCACTTCAATTTTTTTATTTTTTTTGGATTAAAAGGCTAAAAATAGAACAAATTAAACTCAAAAAGAAGGTTATTGCAGCGCCACGAACTAAAAGGTCATTATTAGAAGATCAACATAGAAGAAGATCAATATATTGGTTATCTTTGTAGAGAATTTTGTGGGAAAGGAGATATATGAACTAGAAAGTCATCATTAGAAGAAGATCAACATATTAGTTATTGTGGAGAATGAGTCATTCTAGGTTGATAATGTCACTTAGCATATCTTTGATGTCTTGATTCAATGCAACATATTTGTATTGCCTTGTTGGTGGAGTTCTTAATAAGGTTAACACGGCATGCAGGAAGAAACTATGTTGCAAATTGGGTAGGAAGAATCTCTATAAAAATCCTTTTAGCTGTTATCTTAAATTTTTGATACAATCATTGATTATAAAAATATGACGAGAATTATGTAATAATGATTTTTGTTGAAAAGTCAAAATGGCCAGAGACAACAAATGAACAAAAGTAACTATGATATGGATGATACACTTACTCAACAAATAGGTATTATATAATCCATTGATTTAGAATACAAATCAGAGTTATCAATAATTGGCAACTCAAATGAATCGAATCACTAACTTCTTTGGCTCTCCTCCAGCGCAAGTTCGACCCATTGTACAACCTCAATTGGCTAGGACAATTCGAAACGAGGGAATAGTTCTTGAGGAAAACACAATGAATCAAGAGAAACAACTGTAGAAGCAAGCTTCAAGCGCATAAAAGTTTTGATGAAGACAACAAGTTTTCCAATCAACATGTGTATGCAAAAAGCAAGAGACTCAAATGACATCAAGTTTCAAGATGGTGTTCTAGCATATGTCAAATGGATCAAAACTTCACATACATACAAAGCTAGTTTCAAGTATGGAAGATAGAATATTGAACAACAACTCAAAGGTATACCAAATATCATTTAAAATACTTATACAAGTGTTCAATTATTCATCTCTCACTTCACATATATCATAAGACTTTTTAAAACACTTTTAGTAGCTTACTCTTTTTAAAATTAATTTTGTTTTGAAAAACTTTCAGTGTTAACCGATTAACCCCTATGTTTAACCGGTTAACGGTTTCTAAAATTAATTGTTTGCTGAATTACTTACAGCGTTAATTGATTAACCTATATGGTTAACCGGTTAACATCTGTTGTTTTTGAATTTTTTCTAACGTTAAAGGGGTGTTAACCGATTAACCTATATGGTTAACCGATTAACCCTGAAGCAGTAAGCGAAAAATGATAGCTTTTCATGAAAATATGCATTGTTTTCATTTGTTTTCTGACAGTTTTGCTGCATAAAATTATACCCTTTTGTAGAGGTATATTATCCCGCATAAATTCATATCAGTTTTCAATTTTCAATTTACCTCCAAAAAACTTAATCATTAAATTCACTCATTCTCCTCATCTTTCAATTTTTCTTAAAGTGTTCCCACAAACAGATTTTTGAGAGAAACTTTTGAATAAATTTTACACATTAACACAGTTTCATCTCATATTTTTCAAAAAACACTTGTATATTTCTTTTGAGTGATATTTGTTTCAAGGAGAAGATCGATCGTGAAGATTGATAGCATTATACTCTCAAGACATCAAATTTATATCAAGATTATCTTTTGTATTACCTTGTTGTCCAGGATTGTTGGAAACAAATGAGTGTTTGAAGAGGATTGTTCTTCCTACACTTTAGTTACCTATAGATTAGATAGGGGATTCATCTTTGGTGTGATTATGCTTTACAATCATTCTAAACTATAGTGAAATCTCTTTAGAGTCGAAAGGGGAGTGGAGTACTATCGGAGTGTGAGGGGAACCACTATAAATCTCTTGTGTCACTTTTTCTTTTCCGCACTTTACTTTCAAGTCCTTAACATCTTAATCGAAAAAGAATTAAGAATAAAAAAAAAAATTGAAGATAATTTTTGAGAAACCTAATTCACCCCCCCCCCCCCTCTTAGGCGCATCAACAAAGAAGTCTATGTCAAAAACCCCCAGGTGTTTAAGACTTCAAGCATCCTTCACATGTATACAAATTGAAGAAAGCCCTCTATGGACTAAAACAAGCACCAAGGGCATGGCATGATCGTCTAAGTAATTTCTTATGCGAAAAAGGTTTTGAAAAAGGCAAGGTAGACAAGACTTTATTCATTAAAAAGATAAAGGATAATACCTTACTTGTTCAAGTCTATGTGGACAATATCATCTTCGGTTCAACAAATAAGGAACTATGTGAAGAATTTGCGTCGATGATGCACGGCGAGTTTGAAATGTTTATGATGGGTAAGATGAATTACTTCCTTGGATTGCAAATCAAGCAACTAAAAGACGGAATATTTATCAACCAATCGAAGTATTGCAAAGAGTTGTTAAAAAGATTTGATATGGATGGGTGTAAAGTTATGTCAACACCAATGGGATCCAGAACCTACATCGATCAAGACGAATCGGGAACATCGGTTGATATTACAAAGTATCGAGGTATGATTGGTTCTTTATTATATTTGACGGCAAGTCGTCCTGACATAATGTTTAGTGTATGTTTATGTGCTCGTTTTCAAGAAAATCCAAAGGAGTCACATCTCAAGGACGTCAAAAGAATCATGAAGTATCTCAACGGAACGACGAACGTTAGCTTATGGTATCCTAAAGGTAGTGTTTGTACTTTAATCGATTATTCTGACGCGGATTATGCAGGCTATAAAACAGATAGAAAAATCACGAGTGGAACATGTCACATCCTTGGAAATGCACTAGTTTCGTGGTCATGTAAGAAACAAGCATGCGTTGCTCTTAGTACGGCTGAAGCAGAATACATAGCAGAGGGAAGTTGTTGTGCACAAAATCTTTGGCTAAAGCAACAATTAAGCGACTACGGAATTGATCTTGGATGCATTCCTCTCCGGTGTAACAACACAAGTGCGATCAACATTACAAAGAATCTGATCATGCACTCAAGGACCAAACACATCGACATTCAAAATCATTTTCTTCGTGATCACGTGCTTAAAGGAGATGTTGAAGTCACTTTTGTAGATACGCATAATCAACTTGCAGATATCTTCACAAAACCACTCGCGAAAGAACCGTTTTTCAAGATTTGGCGAGAACTCGGAATTCTCGATGAAGGTGATATATAATATTTCAAAAGTTGATCATTATAGAATCTATGAGTATCAAGGTACACAACTAGGAACTTATCTCTTTTTGGAAACTTTTGATGCTATATTAAATTTACCGTGTCAGCAAACTTTTTCAATCTTTCCTATTTTCGCACATCATTAAGTTATTCTTTTTCAAAATTTTCTTGATCAAAAGTTGCCTCAAGATATGTGCTAACATGTTCTATAATTGTTATATCAAGAACCTTCATGATTTTGGAGCTATTTGCTCACTGTTTTTTTGCATTTTCTGAATTTTCGTAAGCGTTAATCGGTTAACCCATATGATTAACCGGTTAACACTATTTGTGTCTGTCTCCTTTATTTTATTTTTGTATGTATGTCAACTTTCATTATTGTGTGCTCCTCTTCCTTTTTGATAATGCCAATGGGGGAGAATTCTCTAATGTTTCTTTATGCAAAAAATTTATACCTCTTGTATTAAGGGGGAGCTTTAACTTAGGGGGAGAAATAAGTTTAGAGAAACAAGTCTCAAAGCAAGCTCTCAAAGATTGGTTGTCATCATCAAAAAGGGGGAGATTATAGAAGCAAGCTTCAAGCGCATAAAAGTTTTGATGAAGACAACAAGTTTTCCAATCAACATGTGTATGCAAAAAGAAAGAGACTCAAATGACATCAAGTTTCAAGATGGTGTTCTAGCATATGTCAAATGGATCAAAGCTTCACATAAATACTAATCAAGTTTCAAGTATGGAAGATAGAATATTGAACAACAACTCAAAGGTATACCAAATATCATTTAAAATACTTATACAAGTGTTCAATTATTCATGTCTCACTTCACATATATCATAAGAATTTTTAAAACACTTTTAGTAGCTTACTCTTTTTAAAATTAATTTTGTTTTGAAAAACTTTCAGTGTTAACCGATTAACCCCTATGGTTAACCGGTTAACGGTTTCTAAAATTAATTGTTTGCTGAATTACTTACAGTGTTAATCGATTAACCTATATGGTTAACCGGTTAACAACTGTTGTTTTTGAATTTTTTTCTAACGTTAAAGGGGTGTTAACCGACTAACCTATATGGTTAACCGATTAACCCTGAAGCAGTAAGCGAAAAATGACAGCTTTTCATGAAAATATGCATTGTTTTCATTTGTTTTCTGATAGTTTTGCTGCATAAAATTATACCCTTTTGTAGAGGTATATTATACGATATAAATTCATATCAGTTTTCAAATTTTAATTTACCTCCAAGAAACTTAATCA